AAGAAGAAGAAGAAGAAGAAGAAGAAGAAGAAGAAGAAGAAGAAGAAGAAGAAGAAGAAGAAGAAGAAGAAGAAGAAGAAGAAGAAGAAGAAGAAGAGAGATTAGGAAAGGAAAAGAAAACAGAGTGAAGTAGGGGATCTGAGGGGGGCCAGGGTGAGAGAATCTGGTGGGTGTCTACGGTCCTGGTACTCACCTGGGTCTGCACATGGCCCCCAAGTTCACCAACTTTGCCTGCTGAGGCCAAGGGCCCAGCCTGGCAGAACCTTGGCCTCCCTGTCTGTAACTGCAACCTTGTAAGGGTGCAGAGGGGGCTGGGGCAAATATGGGAAATACCTGGCCAAGAAGTGTTAGCTGTGATGGGTGTTTCCAGCCCAACATCTTCTCAAGGCTTTGATGGACAGAAAGGCAGCTCTTCTCCCCATCTGTGTCCTACTTTGGGGCCGGGTGACCTTTGTGCTGCTGGACCGAGACCTCCTAAGCACGTCTCAAGATCTCCCCTGGAGTCACTGTGGTGGGGAATGCTCAACTCCCCCAGTGTCCATCCCCCATTTTTCTCTAGCTCCCATCTATCATGCACTTAATATTTATTGAGGAGCTGCTACATGCACAGCATAAGACAGGCACTGGGGGAGCAGCAAGGAAGGGGTCTCAGACATGGCCCTCATTCCTTGGGGAGCTCACAGGCTTGTGGGGAGGTAATGTTAATCTACAAAGCACATGGAATCAGTGAAAACCAACTACAAGAATGCTAGTGGGACATGATTGGAGGAGGTGACTAAACTGGGACTGGGTCAGGCTTTGGGAAGGGTGGACTGAAAGGGTGACATCTGAAGTGGCAGAAATCGACCAGGTGAGGCAGGAGGATGCAGCCTGTGCAAAGGCCCTGAGGCAGGATGAGTGTGGAGCCTGCCACCGTCTGGGCTGGAGGGCTGTGGAGGGAGGAGGGTGGGCAGCAGGGAGCTCACCACCATCCCAAGATGAATGGAGCCTTTGGTGTTCTGACAGCAGAGAGGGCCACATCGCGTTTGACTGGAGAAACTTCCAGAGGCCAGAGAGCAGGGAAGATACTCATTAGGACAAAAGTATGGCAGTGTGCAGAGAAAAGATGCTGGTGGCCCAGGGGGGTGGGGACGTGTCTGGGATAGCAAAGGGTGGCTATATTTGGAAGATCCTACAGGGCTGGGCGGTGACTGATGCGTGTGTGAGAGGTGACCAGCATAGCCCCAGCTGCTGGCTTCCTCACTGGTGGTCTAGAGGTTGACGGTGGCTTTCAAGGAGCAGGGTCCAATTCCCATGCGCCTCTCCTGTGTGTTTCAGCAGCCTGCGGGTCCTGCTCGAAGCAGGGCGAGGCCCCTCTGTATGTGTTTGGGCTCCTTACCCCCTCCCCACTTGACAGCCCTGAGTGTGACTTGGCCTTCATCTGGTCAAGGAGCTGGGAAATGGACCTGGTGCTTGGTGAATGCTCAGCCTTTACCGATGACAGAGCAGTGCCTCAGATTTGAAGTTGGGGGTCTGGTTCTGCTTGAAACCAGTGTGACTAGCAGTGAATACCTTATCCACTCTAGACCTCAGCCTACCTATCTGCACATGGAGGTGGAGCCCTGGGGTGGAGACTGAGCCACAGCTCCTGTATCTCTCAGTGGCAGGGGCTTTTATCTGTGCCCACAGGAGCACTCCCTGGGGGCCAGGACCACCTTTTTCCTCTAGGTGAGGTCTGGGGTCTTCCCAGGCCACAACCCATGGCCCGTCAGTCCATCTTTCTCCTGGCTGCTGCAGCAATCCTGGTGCTGCACACCTCCTGCTTCCCCTCCAGGATGCTTCGGGTACTAGTGGCCCTGGCCCTTCCTGCTCCTGCCTGGCATGCACACTTGGGCTGCTGGCTGCCCCCAGCCAGGCCCACTCTCTCTGCTTTCCTGTGGCAGCCTGGCTTGGCCCACTTCTTCCACATCACCTTCTTCAGCCCCTCCTCCTGTGAATTCCCAGCTCCTTCCTGGTGACCAGGCTCATTCACCCAGGGACACTTCTCTGTCCCTCTCACATGGTCTTCAGGCTTTCTCTTGCACAACAGTGTCCTATGATAGATCACTGGTTCCATTAATCACCAACATCTTGTGTCACCTCCCCAGGCCCTTGGACTTGGAGCTGAGGGTTGGATAAGTGTTGAGAGATCACCAGCCAGAGAAACACCCGAGCTGTTCTGTCTGTGCCAAGTGCCAAGGTGGAACCCAGAACTTGCCTTCCGAGGAGGGTCCCCAGCAGACACTGGTGGCTTTCTTTGCTTTGGTCCTGTTCATTGCCAGGAATGGGACCACCTGGCCATTTCTCCACATTCTGGCTCAGACTCTGAGTTATGCCCCTGTATCCCTGCTTCTTAACAAAGCCTTCCTCAGTGGGAAAGAGCTTGGACACACAATACTTGCCAACAAAAGCAACCATTGTAGCCCCAGCAAAGGAGATGGGGGCAGAGAAGCTGGGCTGAGGTTTTGCTTTCTATTTGCTGAGGCTGGAGGCGGGCTCCAGGGATGGACCCTGTCTGCTGCTCTGGAGCCAGTGCCGGGGTCACAGCTGGGATCCGTCCCCCTTGACTTGCTCTGCACAAGGCAAGAAGAAGGGGATGGTGGGAGGGCTGGGGCCTGAGTTTTCTCTGGCATGGGCTCACAGAAGGGAGGTCCGTGTGCCACATGTCTTCAGGCCCCACACAGCTCCCACTCTACAGCTGGCAAAACTGAGACCCTGTGAAAGGAAGTCAGGTTTGCAGAGGGCCAGAGCACACGTCTGCTGCCGGTCACCTCTCAGCCTTTCTCTAAATGCCCCCACTAACAAAAGTCCACCTAGGTTTGACCTTATGGGCCAGGATGAGGAGAAAGGAACTCTGTTCTGCACTTCATACAGGTTGGTGTGGTGGCGCCATTTCCAAAGAGCGGACTTCTCTGATGTAGCTTCTCTGCTTCACAAATGAGCAGGCCCTTCAAAGCCCTGCATCATGTGGAAGATGACTATGCAAACAATCTTTTTCCCCTTCAGTTCCCACCTTCGGATTGCTTGAAGTATAGGGTTTGTTTTCCTTTTCTTTTTGCAAATTATTAGGCACACATTCACAGAATAGAGCTAGAGCGCGGATTTTCTGTTGGGCTGTTGGCCCTGACCACTGACCTGGTTATTAGCATGAGGCATCCACTCTCACGCTTCCACTGCTGCTGGTCTTCTCTGCTGTGGGCCACTGGTGCCAGGGGTGGAGCTTGAGGGTGCTTGTCGTTATTTGCACATATTATGTGTGTCTGTGAAGCCCTACCTTTGTACCAGTGCAGCTGGTACACTGGGGATCAGGGAGCTACAGTCTGCAAAATGGGTAGATCCAAGCAGCCAGTGGTGAGTGGGGCACCGAGACCACCGTAGAAGAGAGAGATGCTCACCAACCTCCAAACTCAAATGCAATGGGACACCTTCTTGGCGCAGGCTCTGAGCTGGTAACAGAGAGCTACAGCCAAGAGAGGGACCCAGCAACCTTGGAAAGCCGATCAGGCCTTTCCTCCGAAGAGGAGCGCCCAGACGTCTGAAGGAATGATCGCTTTTTGCGCTGAGCTGCTCGGCTCTGCGTGGCACTTCCGATCCCGTCCGCGAGCGCCTCGCTTGCGGTCCCGCCCCTGCCCCAGTGCAAGGCGCCCCCAGCTCCGACCCGCGCCCGGCCCCGCCTCACCCGGTGTGCCCACCCCTGGCCCGCCCCGCCGCCCCTTCGCCCGGCGCCCGCTGCGTCCGGAGCGTCACGGCGCGGGCGGACCGGCCGGCCGGCAGTTGGCACTGCGGGCGTTGGCGCGTCGGAGCCAGCGGTCCAGGCTGTGGCGCCGTGCGGGGGGCTGCTGCAGGGAGGAGCCGAGGCCGGCAGTGCTCCGGCAGGGCAGCCCGGGGCGCGCCCCAGCCCTGCTTGTGGTTCGGTATCCGGGAGCCTGGCCCGCCCGTGTCCCGCGCGGCCACATGGCTCCGCTCCGCGCTCTGCTGTGTAGCCTGCTGCCCTTGCACTGCGCGCTAGGAGTCGCCGCGGGCAGCCGGACCCCAGGTGCGTGCGGGTCGGGCGCGAGGGGACTCGAGGGGCTGGGTGCACTCGTCAGGGCCGCCCTAAGGCGCTCCAGCCACCCTGGCAAAGCTCAGATGGGTGGGAGGAGATGCATTCAGCTGGGGACGAGCTGCGGTGTCTTTTTCCCTGTCATTGCTTTCCTCTGTCGCTGGGGATAGTGTGTGTGTGTGTGTGTGTGTGTGTGTGTGTGTGTGTGTGTGTGAATTGGGAACTTCATTGTTTTCTTAGGGACTGTATTATCTGTCTCTCTGTGTTTCTCTTTCTCCTGTGAGCCTTTCTCCTTCAGTGTCTGCTAAGCCTCCAGCTTAGGTTCATATGTGGGGGAGTGTGCACACGTGTGTGTCCCCTGGTCATACGCAAAGCAGCTAGCTAGCAGGTGGTTACCTCCCACTGCAGGGCACCCCTCTTCTGTGCAGAAGCACTCAGATATTTGTTCCCCCAGTACAGCATCTTCAGGGGAGAAGAAACCCCCCACCTTCCAGCCTGGAGTTCTCAGGTGGCTTTGAGCATGGACAGGAGGCTTTGGCCATTTCCAGGCAGAGTTCATGTGCCAAAATGGGACCCCTCTTGCAGCAGTCTTAGGGTCCTCTGCTGTCATGGGTGGGACTAGAGGACAGGAGCATCTGCCTGCTGGTGTCACTGCCTTGGGCCAGGGGCTTTTCAGGATGCATTTTCATGGCTGATCAGCACTATGAATTGGATAGGTGATAGATGCTGCTGAGTGGAAATGGAAATTCCTCCCAAACTCACGGCCATGAATCACCAGGCCTGGCAGCCAGGGGGCTGTCACTCCTGCCTGGCCAGGCAGGGCACAGGGAGAGCGCCGAGGACGGGGCCACTGGCGTCCAGCCTGGAGCATGGGCCATGACCTCACACTTAATTCAGCCCAAGTGGGCAGGTCACTCCCGTGTCTCCTCTTATTTTTGAAGAGCTATATTTATCCTGCTTGGGGCTGGGCCATGCAAAAATCTCAGCAGCCACTGTGCTGCTTTAAAAAGTTCTCTTTCTAACCTTGGAAAACAGAACCACATAGTCCTTCCATCTCCTCTCCAGCCCCACCTTTCCCCTAACACGGTCCTGCCATTCTCCCGGGTTTCTAGGTGTGTTTGTTTTGCCAGCTGCATTCTTGGGAGCTTGGTGAGGAGGGCCTTGGCCCAGGCTGGGCTGGTGACTTCAGTTCACCGGGGAGCTTGGGCAGGTCTGGCTTTCCCTCTTGCCCTAGGGGATTTTAGAGAATTCAATCCTTTCCTAGGCAGCCTGGAAGTTGGAGGACTTGCTGTCACAGTGACAGGATTCTGCTTGGCATCATTTGTTTCCTTCTGCTAAACTAGAAAAGGATCTGAGGGCTGCAGGGAGCTATTTATGTCTACAGAGTACCTGCATATCATTGATCCAAGTATAAAAATACAGGAGCTTTGGAAGCAATGAGTGGAAATGGATGAGCTTGTGCCAGTGGTCCAGAAGAGGGTGCTCGGGGCTGCCCTTCCCTGCCTGTCCTGTGGGATTTCCGGTGTCCCCTTACTGTTGCAAACTAAAGTAACTTTTGTTCTCCCCCAACAGAGCTGCACCTCTCCAGAAAGCTCAGTGACTATGCTGTGACCGTGCCCTGCAGCACAGATTTTCAGGGACGCTTCCTCTCCCATGTAGTGTCTGGCCCAGCGGCTGCGTCTGCAGGGAGCGTGGTAGTGGACAGTACACCCATCCCACCATTGCACTCCAGGCACCTCCGAGTGGCTCGCAGCCCTGTCCTGAACCTGGACAAAGGGACTTTGCCACCTCACGGGGCGCGGCGCTACTTCCTCTACTTCAATGTGACTGTTTTTGGGAAGGAGCTGCATTTGCGTCTTCGGCCCAACCGGAGGCTGGTGGTGCCCGGGGCATCAGTGGAGTGGCAGGAGGACTTCCGGGAGCTGTTCCGGCATCCTTTGCAGCAGGAGTGTGTGTACACTGGAGGTGTCACCGGAATGCCAGGGGCAGCTGTTGCCATTAGCAACTGTGATGGATTGGTAAGGGACACTACTTAACCTTCTCTCTTGTTAAGCCATGAGTCACCCTGCTCCTGTTTGTTGTGGTTTGGTTGGTTCTCCTGCGCTTGGGATTCCCATGGGCCTATGCAGTATGGGCCCAGATGGGGGCTGTGCTGCTTTGCAGAGGACACCACTGGTGCTCCCCGGTCACCAGGTTTGCACCCTGTCAGGTGTCAAGCGGATGAGTTGGGACGGTGCCTTATTTTGCACAACCCCTCCCCATCCAGGGACCCCTTTACTGTGAGCTACTTGGCTGGGGAGTAACAAACTCAGAGTTGAGAAAGGCAAGCTCTGGAGTTTTGACAGCTGGGTGTCAAATTGTGGCCGTGTCATTTTGCTAGCCCTGAGATTTGGATAAGTTAATCTCTGGTTCTTCTCCTTATGCAAGGGGCAACTCAGTCTTTTCACACATACTTGCTGTTCTGCATGCTGAGCATATGGGAGTATATGGCTCCTGGCCTCTCCGAGCTGACACACTGGTCATACTGTGTGGCCCACCTCACCAGCCAGCACCAGCCAGGTGGTTGGCACGCCTGGTATGTGCTAGCTGCTGATATTGTTACCGCTGTCGCTATGCAGCATCCTTCCTCTTAGCTGTCTTTTGTGTCTCTCCTTCCAAAGCCAGGCCACTCTTCTCTGAGGTTCTCTCTGCTCCACAAGGTCCCTCTCCTTGGACCCTCACTATCCTCCCAGACCTAGGAGGCCTTGGAGGATTGGCTCCCTTATTGCAAACCAGGCAGCTGTGATTGGCTTTTATGTCTCTGTCAGCAGGTGTTGGCTCTCACTGTCCCTGCTGCTCCCTGCTAGTGTGGCAGCCTCGTGAGCTTGCACGGCGGCCCAGGGCCCGCTGGGAGGCTTTTCTCATGCTCTACTTGGCAGCGACACCAGGTATGAACTGCTGTGCCCCACAGCAGGACATGCTTGTCTCTGCCTGCAGCTGACTTGGACAGGGAGGAAGCAGGAATGCTAGGAGTGTCCTCCCCATCTTCCCAGCCTTATGAGGTTTCTTCCTGTCACATGTCACTGTGGCCCATGCTTCTCAACCTTTTTTAGTATTAGACCCCTGAGAAACCATATTACACACAGTTTCCCTCACCCACAGTGTAGCAGTGTACCCCCGACCCCAGGTATACTGATACCCACTGCTACACTGCTACACTGTGTGGGTGTCTTGGCTTTATTTTGTAGAAATAATGACTTTGAAAAAACTTTCTCCATCTAGTTTTTAATGTCATGGCAAGCAGTAGAGCCACTGAGAGCTGTGGTCTAGGCAGCAGCTGGTCCTCAAAGTGGAGTGTGCACCTGAACCACGAAGCGCCCTCCCAGAGGGACAGAACCTTCTCTCCAGGGAGGGTCCTAGTGATACAGAGAGACAAACCGATCTCGGGTGGGTGTCCTCCAAATGATACAGGGGAAAACTGATCTCCCGACCTGACCTGGACCAGGCTGTGTTCTAAAAAAAATGAAGAATGAATTTTAGGAACAAACAGAGGTTATGAGTAGAATATATTTATTGAGGGAAAGAAAGCTCCTGTCCAAGAGAGGGACAGGAGGGGGACCCAAGAGGGTTGTTCCCCCAAAAGCTGTCTCTTTCAGGGACTTTTATAGTGTAAAACCATGCGGGGCTAAGGTGGAGAAAGGGGGAACTTGCTTAGGTGGATGTGGGGTGGGACTAAACTATGGTCAACCAATGGGATTACAAGCACCATTGTTCAGGTAAAATTGATTACGCCCAGGACCAAATGGGGAAGGGAGTCATGAAGCAAGTGGGCATGAATGTAGAACAGGACTTTATCTGGTGGCTGTCAGATAATGATTCTTCTTGGCTTTCTCAGGGTGAAGATCAATCCTGGATGCCAATCTTTAGGGAGGTCAGCATTTGTTTGATCTTTGGTCTTTAGGTCTGGCTCACAGCAGGAGCATTTGTCCCTCTCACAGTTGTGAGGTATCTTGTCTTCCATGTTACCTCCTTCAAAGGCCTGACCCTGTCTGACTGCCTATAATATTTCTATCTAATTTGGCTGCCTGCAACACTAGCACCCATATCGTCCACCGAACTCTCCAGGTGATCTGTAGCAAGGGTTCTGGCCACAGACTTCATGACACCCAGGTTTTGGATTCAGGGGAGATGCGTTAGGCCTTCCCTGGGAAAGCCTCACTGCCAGCCTGTCCTGGCCCTGCAGTTCTGTGGCTAGAGCCATTCCGTGCCCCTAGTTGCGGTTGAAAAGCCAAGTGATGGAAGAACTTATCAGGGATGTAGTGCCTGTACAGATGGAAGTCGGAAAATGCTGCTGTGAGCTGGCAGCTCGGCTGAATGGCACAGTGAGCTCAGGGACCATTAGCTTCTCATGCCCCCATTTCCCTGGCTGCCCTCCTCATGTGAGACATGCGGGAGATGCCAAATCACTATTGCTGGGAGTCTCAAAGAAGGCGTGCATGGGCCAACAGCCCCATTACAGCCTCCCTTGTTATTCAACTGGCTCAGCTGATAAGTTGTTGACTGATTAACCTGTAGATGCTGCAGGGCCAGGTGGTTTCCATAAAGGATGCTGACCCAGGGGCTCATGACTCATGATCCTGTGGCTGCATTGTGCAGTGCCCTGGGTGACAAGTTGTGCTCCGATTGCTGGGGCTGGCAATGGCGGGGGCTTTGTGGCCTGGCGTGCCTAGGATGATGTTGCTGACCTTTGGTGGCCTCTGAGTACAGGTTCTCATGAGCTGTGTGACCTTGGGCCTAGTCTTCTCGTGGCTCCAGGGGCTGCAGCTGCAGGGTCCTGGCAGACGGATGTGGATTCTGGATGGCTTGTGCCAAAGCTGGGCCAGGTCTAAGTGGCTATCTGTGAAGGGTCCTCCAGATCGAGGCTCCTGGAGAAGCCTGTGTGCTCCCAAGTTCTTGGCTGGGGACAAAAATAGGCTTCACTGTGGTAAACATCAGGCAGAACCATGGGTCAGCACTAGGGCCCTGCTTGGGCCCTCAGCTATCTGCAAGGCCGGTCCTGCAGTCTAGTGTCTTCCCCTCCAGGCAGGGATGCACTCCATGATGTCTGTGCCCTAGAGCACTCAGCATTCTGCCAGAGGCCTCCCCAGGCAGGGTTTCCTCACTCCTCACCCAGCTATGAAGTGCCCCTAGTCCTGAAAAGGCAAGGGGCCACCTGAGAAGGCAAGGGGCCATTGCATGTCTCCCAACAGAGCTCACCTTTGGACTCGGGAGCTGCTGTAGCATTTCTGGTGATAAGTTTTAACTCTCTACCTTTCTTTCTAGATGTTAACCCCATGTTCTCAAGGATTCCAAATACCAAGGTCATTCATTCCAAAGTGACTGAAAGAATCGACTGAGCACTGGCCATGGGCGAGGCCCACCTGGGAAATCACAGGAGGATGACACCAATGGGACAGTTTGTGTCCCAGTGTCGGATATCCCAGTCTCAGACGGGAGGGAGCTGCAGTGTCCCAGGCAGCTGCTCTGTGGGGGCAGAAAGAGTGGAAGACATCAGGGTCACTATCCCCCTTGTAGGTTTCAGCTGCAAATGAAGCCTGCATAGCCCCTTTAGATGCCACACTTCTGGCCAGAGTCAGGGACGGGCAAAAGGGTTGCAGGTCTGTGCACACAGGGTGGGGTGTGGGGCTCAGGGGAGTAGGTTGGGATCTTCAGACCCTCTTATAACTGAAGTGTTGTTGGGCTGGGGAAAGGTGCTCAGTGACTGGTCCAGCTGTTCTATGTCTTGTTGCCCTGCCCAGCCTCTGCAGTTAGGCTGATACCAACCAGGGAAGGAGGAGTCAGTCATAGGTTTACAAGGCCAGGCTTCAGAAATAAGTTTAGATGCAAAACTAAGCTCCGGTTTTAGAGCTGGACAGGCTTCCCTAGAGGAGGAGGAGGCATTGGCTCTAGACTGCTCAGCAGCATAAGCAGGAATGCAAGTGCTTATGCTGGGCCTCTGGCCAGCAGATAGCACGGCTGACATGGCCCGCCTGGAGGATGTTTGGGGCAGGACATAAGGGGTGTAGTGAGGCTCTGTCCAGCCTGCAGAGTATTTCCTCCAGGGCTGAGCCCCTGGCTCGGGACTGTCACACCCAAGGGTCTCAGCCCAGGAATGTGTCTGGGCTGCGCAGTGGCCTCTCAAAAGGACAATGTTGAAAACCTCTAATGCTCCACACTTGGGAGGAATCTGCACGGAGGCCTGAGGTGGTGCCAGTTCTTCACGAGTCTTGCAGGGATTGTGGGATACGGGGCCAGCAGAGTGGTGTCCCCACTTCTCGGTGGGGCTGAACACTCCCTGCATCTGTGCAGAGCCAGCCTGCTATAGGGAGGAGGTGGCCATCGTTTCTCTTCATGGAGATGAAGGCCAGCCATCTCTGCCTTCCTGAGCTCTTCCTGGGACATCTGGCGCTGGCTGAGAGGACATAGCTGCGCTGGGCTCCCCTTACTTTCTTGGCCTCTGTGAGTCAGGGTCTGGTGCAGAAGTGGCCACACATATAAGATTTGTCACATCTGGTTCTGTTTTGCGTTCTCTGCAGATCCTGCATTTTTGATGGGTTCCTCTGAATAGACCCTGGCAGGTGGCAGGAGGGGACAGGGAAGGCAAAGCCCAGCCCAGCCTCCGAGCCCTAAGTCCTAGGTACACTTGAGCTGCAGTCCTTTCGGCTTGAAAGTGGGACTGCAGCAGAGCAGGGAGGCCTCAGCTAGATGGCCAAGGGATGCGGGTTCTAAGCCGGGTCACGGTGGTAGCTGTGCTGCTGTGCACTTATTGGACACCCACACACTGCAGAACGTACCTACCGGAGCAGGTGCTAGCTGTGTCTCAGTGAAGCTGTCAGGTACAGTGCCAGGGCAGGGCCCAGACCAGCATTGCTAATAGTGCTGGGCCTGCCGAACACTGGTGCAGACCGGCTGAGTGACCCTGAGTAAGTTTCTAAATGTCTCTGGGCTGAGATTCCTTATCTAGGAGGAGGGGATAGAAGCAACCATCTTTAGGGGTGTTTGGAGGATTCAGTGAGATCCTGTAAAGCATCTGGTTTGGTGCTGGACCCTTGGACAAGGAGGTTTATTTCAGAAATCATGAATGGTTACATTTGTACTTAGTAATTGGGACTGTAATTATTAATAATGATACTGTAATACTGTGGAGTCCCTCATGTTGCAGGGATGCCTAGACAATCAGTGTTATCTCACACCGGTCTGAGTGCTGGGGCCACCACTGCTTCCAAAGTTGGCCCAGCCTCCCTTCCCTCCATCCTGTCCCCACTGCAGCACTGTCCCATGCAGAACTAGCCAAGCGGTGCTTCCTCAGGGCACAGAGTTTGCACAGGAGCATTGCTCTGTAATAACCTAGACACCTCCTGGCATAGCAGTGTGCAAAGAGATGCCAGCGGAGTAGTCTATTAACGATTGTAGCCCCTGCTCGGTGCCAGGATCCTTGGCTGTGGGGGTGGAACTCACCCCTCCGTTTCTGGCTTCAGGAAGCCTGCAGCTTAGAGGGGAGGCTGACACACGCTAACTGGTGCAGAGCGTGCAGCCCTGGGTAGTGCCCCCACGGGTGCTAGTACTCAGGGCAGGATGCAACCTGTGGGTGGCCTGGAGGTGAGCACTGAGAAGGGAGGTTTGCCAGGGGAGGGACCACTTGGGCTGGGTTTTCAAGGATGTGTATGAGATTTTAAAGCCACAGAGAAGTAATTTTAGGCACCCTGCAGGGAAAGCAATCCTGTGGCTTCACAGGACTTGGGAAATGGCAGGTCTTTCCAGCTTTCCGTGGGAGCCAGGGAACCGTGAAAATGTGATTTGGAAAATCTCCACCTCACTGTGGAACCTGGGCATGAGGAGCCACGGGAGGTCTGTAAGCAAGAGCCACCTTGTACTGGAGTGAGATGACATAGCTGGCGGGGGCAGTGTGCTTGTGGCTTATGGGTGTCCTGGTGCTAAACGCCTATCCTCACCCCATGGGTGTTCCTTGCTGGCTGAGGGAGTGGGCTGCCCTGTTGGCCTGTGCAGACCTGGCCCCTCCATGTGACTAGGCCCCGTCCAGATTCCCAGCTGGCCTGACCCCTTACATCAGGAGCTGTGGGTTCTGTCTGTATGTGAGACAGGCTGGGGACAGGGCACCCAAGCCTTGCGACTGGTCCCTGCTGGCTGCAGTCCTGCTGCCGTGCTGATGGACCTCTTCAGCTCTGCACATCCCCTCCGGATGCTGCCCCAGCAGGTCTGCCTACCTCACTTCCCAACTCCCTCCTTCGCTCATGCTGTGTACCCCTCCCCTGATAGCCTCCCTCTCCCTCACTTGGTACAGCTCCTGCTGCAAACCACAGTTCCAGGAAATCCGAGACCATCTTAAATTTGTGCTAGAGGACAAGGCTGGACCCCTGGGGTAGAAGGACAGGAGGCTGACACTTTAGATGTTTGCAGAACTAGGTGGGTGGCAGGAGAAAAAGCAGAGGGCTGGGAACAGTGGGAGGAGCTGGGGCTATGGCCAATCTGAAAGGACTTGTGAGTCTGGTATTGCAAGAGTATTTTTAGGAGAAATCAGAAATAGGAATTTTACAAACTAAAGTCTTCTAATTTTTAAGCCAGAATATGAGCCAAACACAGCAGGGATGTTTGCGAGAGGCTTAGGGTCTTCAGTGAGTGTCTTAGTCCTTTTGTGCTGCTATAACAAAATGCCTGAGACTGGATAATTTATAAACAACAGCAGTTTATTTCTCAGTCTTGGAGGTTGGAAAGTGCATGATAGAGGTTTTAGCAACTCTGGGGTCTAGTGAGGGCTGCTTTCTGAACATCACTGTGTCCTTGGGAGGAGACAAATGCTGGGTCCTCAGATGGCAGAAGAGATGGAGAGAAGGGCAAGAACGCATTGCTAGTTCCCTTCAGCCTGTGTGTAAGATCTTGAATCCCATTTAGGAAGTGCCACCCTCATGACTTAATTTCCAGGCCCTTCTGTTAATACAATCATATTGGGATTAGGTCTGAACATACACTTTGGGGGGACACATTCAGACCATGGTGGGGAGGCAGTGTGTGTTAAGGATGAACAGCGACCCTTGCAACCAGCCTACCTGGGTTGAAACGCCGCCTCTGTCTTTTGTGTGCTGTGCAACTGTGGGCGGCTCCCTCACCTCTCTGTGCCTCAGGTTCCTTACCTGGAAGGTGGGATCATAATAGTCCTCAGTTCACAGAATTGTCAGTGTGTGGAGGGCTCCATGCAGCACCCTCAGGACGGTTCAGCAGGGCTGTTACGTGGTGCGGCTTTGTTGGATCTGAGGCTGGGGTAGGCGGGAAGGACACCGCATTTGTCTGACTACTACGTAGTGGAGTCCCGGGGCTCTCAGCCCACGGCGACCACAGCCTCCTGAGGCCTGTTGTTTCGTCAGGATGCAGCTTGTTCCTGCCAAGAAGGCATTCTTGCCGTGAGTGTCCCCACCGGGTGCTAGAGGGCAAGGCCTGCGCATGCTCACTTGTGTCCCTCCAGTCCAGCCTGGGACCTCTCACAGGACCAGTGCTCTGCAGATGCGGGAGGACCGCAGGGGTGAGGGGATGGGCAGGCGTGAGATCAGAGGTGACACTAGCTGCCGTCAGCTCTTTCAGCCCCAGTTAGATGGGGAGGAACAGCTCTTCGACCTCTGGTCTATGGCAAACCGTCCATCTGCCCCCAGGCGAGAGGTGACGGATATGTCATGAAGGTGTCCATTTGCCCTCCTACAATGCAGCAGAACCCTTCAGGTGAGTGGTGGCGGGCTGTCCCTGGCCTATAATCCTTGGCTTTGGCTCCTTTTGGCCACCCAGTGGGCTGAGTAGGTGGGAGAGGAGCCTGTGTGTACCCCTGCCCGCGACAATCCCACTCCACAGCCTCTGTTCCCAGGGCTCATGCCGGCTTCAAGAATGTGAGCTGGTTTATCACGTTTGCTACTTAGGTGACCCAGCTCCCAGAAAAATGTGGGGCTCTTTCTGGAATTTCAGTTTGCAGTATGTACACAGAATGACACTCTGCTGGAAAGGGAGCTTCTTGTTATCTGCCACCCAGGTGACCCCAGAAAGTGGCCCGCTTCTTGCCTGTAGGGACGAGGGCCTGAGTGCTGTGAGGTGCCTTGATTCCAGCCAAATCCCTGGAGGAGACTGCTCAGATTTTCCTGGGAGCAGGCAGTGTGGGGAGACCGAGCAACTCTCAGGTATCTTCTGCTATGTAACAAAACAGCCTAAATTGGAGAAGCACCAAACCACAACGCTGTCCTTCCTCCTAGCTTCGTAGGTTGGCTGCTGGTCCCTCTCCTGGCTGCCCTGTGGCTTTCTTTTGTGGCTGCAGCATGGAGGGTCCCTGCAAGCTGTGTCAGGCGCCAGTGTGGGGCTGGCTGTTGGCAGGTGGCCTCGGTTTCCTCCTCTGTGGCCTTCTTCTCCTCAGCAGCAGACTGGCTCCTGCTCAGCATCTCAGGGCAGTGTTCCAGGAGGCAAAAGGCAGAAGCTGCACGAATTAAGGCTGGCCTTGGGAGTTGCATGGTAGTGCTTCTGGGCATCTTGTTGGTAAAACAAGCCACAAGACCAGAGGAGAGAGCTCCCAGGAGCGGGGCATGGACTCTGCCTCTGCAGGGGAAGAGCAGCCAAGTCCCATGGCGGGGGGGTGGAGGGTGTGTGTGTGTGGCTGTGTTCAGAGGCCAGAGGGCTGGTGGCAACTGTCTTTGCAAATGGTATTCCTCCATGCTGACCTAGGCAAAGGTCTCCATCCCTCCAAGCCTTAGTTTCTGCCCCTGTAAAGTGAGTGGTTTTGGTAATTAGAAATCACACACTCAAAGGACTGTCACAGGGCTGGGGAGATAGCTCAGTAGAATAAGCAATTGCCTGGCAAGTGCAAGGGCCCGAGTTCAATCCCTGGTTGCGCAAAAAAAAAAAAAAAAAAAAAAAAAGGACTGTCACAGTGCCTGGGACAATAAATAGTGACAAGTACTCTTATCACTGCTCATATCATAGAGTGAAGGAGGAGGCTGCAGAGCAGAGGCAGCAGGTCAGCCTGCCGACCCCTGGGTATCCCTCCTGGGCGCTTCCTCTTGCTTCCCAGAGGGCTGACCCACCGGAGCCCGGGTCCTGGGTGCTGGTGGATTTTCAGTCCTGGAGCCTCCCTCATCTGCCCCCAGCTGTGCCTCACTGTCTGCCCTGGATTAATAGCTTATTTATGATACAGAATAAAAGCCAGACATCACCTCACTACTGCTGCTATGGTGCAGAGCAGCCTCCCCTTCCAGTGAGGGCTGGTTTTATTTTTCTTCCTCAGCAGTGGCTGGAGGGAGGGTGGCCTGGGGATGGCCTGTGGTGGGCTGGTGGGTGTGGAGGGGCTGTGCGTGCCGGGCAGGATAGGTCCTGGCCTCAGGCGGGGCTGCAGAGAGGCCCAGCCCGGGTGGGCTCTTGGAGCACCCGTGGAATTTCCCAGGCTCTGCTGGGGAAAGCCATCTGTAAGTTCAGCATGTGGGCCTTGCTGGCCTGCAAAGCCCTCAAAAACAGAAGCCCTGGATGACATGCACATGCTGCCTTGAGCTCGGCAGCCTAGGAGCTGCCTGCCACACAACTTGGGCTGCTTCTGTCCTGAGCACTTCCAGTGGTGAGTCTCAGCTCAGCGTAGTCCATCCCCACCCTCTACCCTGACCTTGGTCGGACTGGGGACAGCTGTCGCTCGAGGGGTTCTGGGGGCCTCCACATCCTTCTTCATTTCCAGCAAGGGTAGTGGAGGTCAGAAGAGGACAGGAACTCAGCCACAGTCACCCAGCAGACCAAGAATGTCCCATCATGGTCCACACTCCTACCATCCTGGGGACCTGTCGTGAGCCCAAAGAAGAGGACCAAGTGTCTATAAGCAGTGACTCAAGCCTATAGGCCACAAGATATGCCATGATACAGTTGCCATGGCAACAGCTTCAGCATGATGAATGATGGAATCAGTTGGCTCTTGGGGGCCAACTGGGAGCCCCAGGGCCTGCAGGGTAGGATGGCGAAGCATGTGTTTCTGAGGTTTCCACTGTGGCGTGGGTTGCTAAATATCATTGTATTATTCGTTGTCTTCCCTAAAACTTTGGACATCAACTAAGAAAACTTTGATGTCCGTAGCCCAGTGAGTGGGATTTGAACCCAGATGGAACATTCTAGTGCTTCTCAGACCCCAGGGTCTGTTCTCAAAGTATTAGAAGGACGAAGGACTGCCTTTGTCTCCAAGTCCGCTCTGATTCATTGGCACGGCTGGAGGAACCCTAGACGGGCTTCTTTGGGGAATGGACTAGAGGTAAGGTTTTCTGTCAGGCACAGCAGTTCCCAATGCAAACCCCGCTCCCAACAGGTTGCTGAATGTCTCTATCGGTTTTGCTGTGAAGCCAGCCACATATTGACACCTCTCCTCTGTCCCGACAAAGCCTGGCCAAGCCATCCTGATGTCAGCCTTAGATTCTCCAGCCTTGCAGATTGCTGACAAAGTCTATGGGATCGCTGTCACCAAAGTCTCAGGGTGGGGACACTTGGTGAAGCATGCCATCTCCTGGCCCCCAGCTACACTTGAGGAAAGCTGATGTCTCATAAGGGCCACATTGCCAGGGACCCTTCGGAAGACTTGGCCCCAAGGTGCTGCCTGCTCGAAATGACTTCGTGACAAAGCCTGTAGCTGGTGTGTTCAGTTCTTGTTCCCCTGAAGCTGGTCTGGAAGAAGGACAGGCAGAAATGCCTGGTTAGGACCCAGGCATGTGCTAAAAGCCCCTGAGGGCACAGAAAAAGGGATAAGGATGGGTGACAGCTGGGGTGTGCTGGAAGGGCATTCTGGGGGTGCCGCAGCTTCTCCCACTGGGTGCTCTCACCATAGTCCGCTGGCCTGTGGTGCCTGTAGTTTTGGCAGCGTCCCCAGTACCTAGGTCTGGGCCTGCTCAGTCGCTTTGATGAGTGAATAAATGAATGGATGAGTGAATGGTGTTGCAAGGAGCGCGACGCCCGTGAGCTGTGCAGGGAGTGGGTCTTGGTACACACGCTTGTGTTCGAATAACCGAGGAGCAGCTTGGGAGGCGTGTGAATTGTGAAAGCTGGGAACATGTGCGAATGGTCGGTCCCTGGACAGGACCAGCAGCGCTGTGTCTGCCCCTACCCCCACCCCCTGTGCGGAGGAAACTGGGGATGCCTGGAGGATCAGTGTGCTGTCAGGCTACTGTGGGGATACAGTGGGGTGGCACGGGGGCTCAGGGGCCTGGAGCCACACTTCTCCATTCTCCAGCGCTCAACTGCTCTTTAGGAACCTCCTCCTTGACCACCACCCAATCTGTCATTTGTCACTGAGCATGTGTGGGGCTCAGTGATAGACATTCACACACATGATTTTACATGACAAAGGTGTGGCTTGCATCCAGCCATGGCAGTACACATCTGGGCCAGGCTGCTGTAGGGCTGGGTCACTGGGGAGCCCTGGCTGGCTGGGACAGGGACTCTGGGACTCTCTTCTAGCTGGCTGCACGTTTCTCTGGCGCTACCCCTCCGTCTGCTGGCTGGCAATGGGGCATGGGGTTGAGCGAGTAGGGCCTCTGCAGGGAGCTGCTCCTCAGCTCGGGGCCTGGCAGCCGCGCCGCCTTCTGGCGCTCGAAGGCTGCTTCCTGTCTCCTCGTCCTTAAGCCACAGCCGCTGCCAGGATGTGGGGCCAAGGAGGGGGCTAAGCAGAGCTCCTGCTCGAGCATGGTGGGCTGTGGTGGTGATGGGGGTTGGAAGGAGGGACCTTCTGAGCCACGCAGCTCTGGGCACTGGGGAATGGAAACCGGGGTGGCTGCGGCCCTGAAAAGTGTCCTGACCCTGGCTGGGCTCCAGGGCAGGGTGTGCTCGGAAATGTGCCTCTGAGCACCTTCGGGCGGGAGCCCACCCTGTCTCTGCATGGTGGCCTGGCCCTGGGGTGTAGAGGTGGGGGTAGGACTACGTGAGCCCCTCTGTTAAAAGCCAGCCTTGGAAGACCTGACCCACTTAGTCCTAGCTGGTGCTGGAGGAGTCACTTACCTTTGTCGTGATCACCAAAAGCATCCGTAGAGAGGTACTACTAATCACCCTCCCTCTGTGTCACAGACTTAATGCTGGGGTAGCAGTGTCCTCATTGACTGGCCTTTGGCCACCTACAGACTGCAGCCCCTCGCCCTGCAGACCCTCACTGTGTTTGAGACAGTTGTGGCAGATTATTCTTCCCTCCCAGAGGAGGTGCGCCTTGCAGAGGGGCCCCGAGACAGCACTGAGGCACAGAGCGTGCCTGACCTAGAGGGCCCAGCTCACCCTGAACCAGGGAGAGGCTCTCCGGGGTGTGGCCCAGGGGGCAGTAGTTCTGCACATTCCTGTGTAGTGTTAGTGAGCGTGGAGGGTTGGGGACCAGCCATCACAGAAGCCTCTGGAATACTGTATTTGACAGTGACAATGGGGTCAGGCCGCGGGGGACCAAGAGGGCCTGACCAAGGAAGGGAGGAAACGTCTCCCACCTACTGCAGGCCAGGCCCCAGGAGCGGTGGTCTCAGCCCTTCTTTCACCTCATCCTCCCAACCCTTTGGCTTTGGAGGTGGAAACAGGCTTAGAGGGCTCGTGTGAGCCAGGGTGTGGCCCTGGGTATCTGATTCTTCAGTGCAGCCTCTCCACCACTGGCAGAAAAGTCAAATGACAGAGGGTGTGTGTGTGCTTTAGCTTGGGCCTGAGGTCTCCCTGAAAGGGCCATGTGCTAAGTAAGGCTTAGTCCCAGCCTGTGA